ATATATATATATATATATATATATATATATATATATATATATATATATATATATATATATGTGGCATTGATGAGTCTATTCACTACTTAAAAAGGCTGTAATTTTGAAATGGCGACAGTAAAATAGGAGGTATCACAATGGGGGGAGCCGGGGATTAAGTTTCATTATAAGAAATGAGAAAAAATCAAATCAGCCCTAGAATTTTCTACATACTTACTTCTCTACTTCTGAAAATGGTAAAATGATAAAAATGACATTCTTATTAGTTATTGTGATACATTTCTTGGTTCCCAAATTATTAAATAAAATGCCACAATATGAGTCCAAATAATAATTAAAGTGCGTATCTAAGGCAGTGATTTTATAAGATACAATGTCACATTTTATCCCCTTTTGTAATACATGGCTCTGGTCACCAAGGTTCACAAAGGACTTCAAGGACAAAAAGCACGTGGCGAGTCTTAGCTTATTGAGACACTCTAACAGATCTGGGTCTTTTTGGCATGGAAAGGGGAAAATTAATGGTTATATTTAGGACCATTACAGTGGCCATTGCTAGTGTGATAAGAGAGAGAGAACACTTTCCAGAGCCATAAGTATATATAAAGTATCTGAAATAAGACACAAAACTTTCTAGATGTTGTCAAACTTCTGTGATTAAACCTGATATTTAAATATTTAAATAACTTAATGGCCCATGATAAGCTTTACCCTACTTATCTAATAATCAGCCATGTCGTCAGCTTCCTTGATCTAATTAGATATTGTTGCTATTTCTAAATCCTGTGGCCAAATACTATAACCAGAAGCATGTGTTAACGGTGTCAAGCCGAATACATTTAAGCTTCCGTTAATGTCATAGCTGATATGCATCATAACAAAAATGTATCACGACAAACAAAGACCTACATTTTAAACAGACTGACCTGTATTTCTTCATACCTAAAAACCAGATTAAATTTATGACTTTGATGACATTTTCCCAACATTAATCGTTCATAAGGAGAACTGAAATTGGACTCGTGGAGTTTGAAAAAACAGTCGATGTAATGAGAATGAGGCCATATCTGTAATGTATGGCAAAGAGAAAAAGCACCAAAAACACATTTTTTAACAGTGGTTGTCACATTTGTGCAGATTTCTTCCTACTGAACTAAACAAACGACCAACCTTTGTTCTAACAAGAGAATCTTGTTTTATTGGTTCACCTGAAAAATAAATAAGTCCTTTTCTGTATTCACTGTATAGATAGTGCTGGCCTCAACTTTGAATATGCATTGGACTGTGGGACGTGCATCTCATGTTATGGGGGGGGGTCTAGATGCCATGTTTATGTTCCTCAAAATTCTTTCGGATCTTTTCTGGATTGGATCTCGTTCTTTAATCAGGCCGATCAAAGGTTGCTAGGCAACAGGGTTGAATAATGAGATGCTTTCCATGGCGACAGCAGCTTTACTGGTAGATGAAATTAATCCCATTAGGTATAGTGGGTACAGCTTTGATTGTCTTTAGCACCGGCATCACCCTCCTGCTGGAAGTGTCGACTTTTTTCGCTTAAGCACAATCCAGATGTCACAAGGGACCTATAGACATAAAGGTTACAATAAGGAACAGAGTGATTTTACAACTGTTACTCCTGTTAGCAGTGTCAGCAGTGTCATTCATGGCACCTATAGCTGTGAGGAAGGTCTATGAGGTTTTTTCCCCTTCTTCTGTATTGAGGTATATTGCACCTTTGTTTTATTGTACTAAACCAGTAATATCAATATCTGCTAAAATCAAGAAACTCACACAGAGACAAAATCCACCCATGTGCCATGAAGATGTTTTTCTGTGTGTTTTAAAGTAGGGCGGCATGGTGGTGCAGTGATTAGCACTGTTGCCTCACATCTCTAGGATCTGAGTTTGAGTCTTCGCCGTGGCCATGTGTGTGTGGAGTTTACACATTCTCCCTGTGTTGTTGTGGGATTTCCTACAGGTACTCTGTTTTTCCCCCCAAATCCAAAAAATTGCTGGGGTTAACTGGAGTTACCAGCTTGTGTGAGTGTGTGAAGCTGCAATGCTGTGAAGCTACATCCTGTATTGTTCCCTGCCTTGTGCCCATATGCTCTAGATGGATGGATGCATTCATTTAGGGTGATGTATAGTGCAGCTGGTTAAGGGTTATGCCAGTGTCTCATTGGTTGTGGGTTTGAATCCCTTTGGCTGGCAAAGGAAGCATATCGCTACTAGGCCCTTGACCAAGGGCCTTAACCCCAACTGCTCCAGGAGCAAAAGGACAGCAACCCACTGAAAAACTCGCTCTCACCTGATTATTTATATATGCGTGTCTGTGTCTCTCATGGAGAGCAAGATGGGATGTGTGAAGACTTCCCAGTTTCCCCACAGGGATGAATAAAACACCACTGATGTATTTTTCACCACATACTAAAATTCCAGCTTCCAACAGCCAGGAGCTGTACAGAGGGAACCCCAACAATCATTACTGCCTCTCAGCCTCACAGAGGACACATCTGCTGGAATATTCTGGGGAATGAAGAAGAAATGAGTAACCCCAGTGCAGACGATCAGGAGCTGAGCATGATTACATGCCTGGGTCTTACTTTGGCCTGTGCTCTACCCGGGAGTGAATCCCCGTCTCTATCGGCCTGCACTACCTTATCAAAAAATGAATGTCATTTTTTTGCAGGGAAAATCCAGAAGGATTTAGCATAGAAGCCATGCATTTTGAAGTAGATCTATGCTAATGAATGCCCCATGTAATTACATTAAAATGTGCGTTAATACCTGAAAACCCAGCTGCAGAAATAACAGGCAAAAGAAAAATGCAAGAAATGAAACAAACAAAAGACCACATCGTATTACTGATTATTTTACCTTGGTCTTATTTCCATGTAAGGATCAGCATCACATCAAGCAAAATTACGTAACAAAAATATTATCATTTTGCTTCCTAATTTTGCCTGTCCATTGTTTTTTTGTGTTGTATATATGTAGTTCATAGATATTAAGTACTTAAATGCACTTAAACATATTTCTCTCTATTTATATATCAGGCCTGAGAATTCAATCTCATGCACAATACAATTAACAGAAATATTTAATCCTGAACCTAACACAACCAGATCACCTGACCGGATAATGAATTATATTTGAGTCTTGGTGCAAAACTGAGTCACTGCATTCTGAGCTCAACAATAAATTATTTTTTTGTCATCGTAAATGTTAAAGGCATAACCACGTATTTTATAAAGCTGACTGAATTTATACATTTATAAAATTATCCCAATGGAATGATGAGTTGTCATATACTGGAAAAATATAGGTTTTCATTTTTGCAGTTGACTGGCATCCTGTCTAGGGTGTGCTCTGCGTGAGAGGTTTCAGGCTGTTCCTGATCAGATGAAGTGACTAGAAAATGAATGGATAGATGGATGGATGGAATTCTCTAACTGCTATACGGTGTTATGCATTAATCAATACTGCAATAAAATGGAGCATGATTGCAAGAGGTTTTATGGTAACAGATTTAAACAGTTCCAGAACAGCTATTAATCTCTATAATGCTATAAATGTATTAAAAACAAATGTATAATGATGTGCAAATTGCAAAAAATAACCATAATCTATAATTTACAGTCATTCTCTTCTGTATTAACAACTAAGATGATGTTACAGGAATCCGAAGCTACTCTAAAACTCTTACAATGGCAGTGATTGATATTGTGTGCTCAGTAATGTTGAGCAGTGAGGCAGGAGGTGAGGGAGGGGGGGCAGGATGTGGCCCCATCCCTCCCCATTAGTGACCTCTGCTCACAGCTGGCCCTAGCACTTCTGTGCTGGGGTGCTGCTGCAACTTATGGAATACAAGCATTCTGAGGCAAGTCCATCAAAGTCTGATAACTGCAGGCTAGAAAGATTTAGAGCTTGCAGGAAAGCACTATTCTGAGCTCTAGAGCCATCCTCAGGAAACAGCTCATAGAATATTAGATATGGGAGACCATTAAAGAAGCTGCAACCACCCATACTGAGTGAGGATAACAGGAAACACATTGTGATCACCGACTGATGTAGCAGTAATGGTCGTCTAACAGCAGGGTCATTAATAACAATACGCAGGCATTTTCTGCTGTTGTTCTTCCATCTCCTTGATGATCATTACGTGCTACACGTTGAAAGCGATACTGCCAGGCCGACATAAAAAGCTGCAGTTGCCGTTGTGTCTTTGGGCATGCTAAAATGACATTTACATAAAAATTAAATAAAAAATAATTATACACTGCAACATCTGCTGCATACCTTAAATGTCCTTGTAAAAGCAGAAACTCGCATGGATGCCCCGGGGCGAGACAAAGTCAGCTGACAAATTTATTCGTCCAGCTTGCCGGAACCATACTTCCAATCAGCATATGGCAGGCGGCGCTGCGTACTTACACCGTCGGGATCTTGGGTTTGATTCCCATCTTGGTCTGTGTGTGTGTGTTTTGTCCTGCAATGCAAACAAAAGCTGTTTAGGTAAATGTGTATCTCTAAGTTGGTCCCTTAGTGAGTGTGGCCTTGCGATGGACTGGCATCCTCTTCAGGGCGTTCCCCCGCTTCATGCCTCATGGTCCAAGGTTCATCGCGACCCTGTACTATATAAGTGGCTGTGAATGATGGATTTTATCCTCTTTTGCCCCAGAAAACATGTCCTGACCCCGTGCCCTGAGCGCAGTTGTAGTCTTTCCATGATGCAATCCCCGCGTTGTTTTTGTGTGTTTTGTCCCTCTGCTGATACCAAAATAGCCATCTTTTGTTATACTGTGGTGCCTTCTTTAAACTTGTCCCTAAAAAGTCCCTATGTGTTCCACCCAATCTCTATATGACATGGTCCCATCTATCTATCTATCTATCTATCTATCTATCTATCTATCTATCTATCTATCTATCTATCTATCTATCTTCCATCCATTCATCCATCCATCCATCCATCCATCCTCAACCACTTTACACCCAGTAAAACTTTCAGTTAATAGTTACATTTATTTTGTTGCATTTCCCAGATATTTTCAATTACTTGTAGGCAGTATCTCCGCAAGCTGCATGCTTACCTTTAACTGCACGGTCGTAAACTCCGGGGTGGCAGGTCAACTACAAAGATGCAGACACATCACAGCATCCCCTTCAGTGAAACTACTGTCACCTGGCAACCGTATCCACATCACATCACCTGGGGCCTGGCAGTGCTGATGCTCCTCACTGCAACACGGCTCACAGCTGTTGCTCTGACAAAGGGGACAGCACGGTAAAATTGTCTACATAGGATGAATGTGCACACGGATCTTCAGATGCCCTTTTTGAGACAAAAAATACGGCTTTTATTTTTCAAATAAAATGGTTTGTTTATTTATTATCAATAGCGCAGTTTCTTAATCTCTGTCTCTTTCGTGCGTTTTTGTCTTTCGTGTTGTTATTGTGTATTCTTTTGTTTTTTTGTATACTCATGCCACCACCAAAACAAATTCTTTGTAAATTTTGTCCATGGTGAATACAAGGATTCTGAAAACCTTAATGTTTTTCACAAGTACAGCAACAGCTGGTCTCAGCTGTGCTACGCTTACGGACATGCACCATATCAAGTCTACAGAGGTAGCACAGTACTGGTAGTATGCTCCCCCCCCCCCCCCCCCCCCCCCCCCCCCCCCCCGCCCATCCCGCCCCCCACTACAGCACTCCCCTATAACACCATAATAAACCACTCTGTCATTCCTGACCCCATGTTCTATTCCCTATTTCCTCATGTTCTTTCTCTTTAAATTGCTAGCCATGAGCCCGCAAGGTGAAATCAAGCCTGAAAGATAGCACCATATATTCCGCCATGTCAATAAAGCAGTGACAGCATTGCTGGAATGGAGCTCGTTGGGTTGCATCCAGTCATAATGGGGGTCTCCTGTTGCCATGATTGCTGCTGGCCACCGCACCTGTATCCCAGTCACCACCCCACTAAAGATCCATCACTACTGTTGCAGTTCTCATCAGTGTAGAAGTATATTTTGCAAATCGTGTTACTCAATTTGCGAACAGAAGTTTAAACGTTCTCAGGCTAGCAATAAGAAGGGAACATAGCTACAAATATGGTTTGTTTAATTACACAACTTGCATTTTAAGAATAGTGCTGTTTTCCCTGCTAATTACATGTGTATCCCCAAGTCCTGTGCCCTATGCCGTCTGGAATGGGGTCATCAATACCCAGACCAGGATAAGCTTGTGCAAGCTTTACTTACACAAAAATGTTTTGAGGACAGAAGGAAAGATGATTGCTTCAGATCATGGGCGTCATCAGGTCCCGAATATTTTAAGCCCAGCCCTGAGTATTTTGCCCCCCGATGCCAAAAAAAAAAAGTCATGCCCTGGGTAAACTTGACTCAGCCCCTGATCTTTTCAATAGCTACAAATGCCCCGGTTCAGAAAGATAACCAATCAGATTATAGAGCAGGTGGGTCCAAGCAACTGGAGACATCTGATTGGTTGGCCCAACCTAATCTACAGTCTGATTGGTTCTCTCTCTGAGCTAATCATTTTCCCTTCTGCCCTCAGAACTTTTTTGTTGAAGTAAAATTCCCATTAGCCCAGGGTAAGCAGTTGGAAATTTTTTGTGTCTATCACAGAATAACATTTTCATGGGAACCTTCTCAGATCCATTCTAGCATCAACTGTGGACAATGGCCCTTCTTGTTAAACTTCCTCTTTCCTGCCATTTCCCTCCACTGCTGTTTGCCTCCCTTAAATGTTGCTCATACGTGAAAAGTATTTCCTTTGTAATCTTTTGCCATGTTAACTGAGCCTGTAACCTAAAACGCTGTGTTTGTGCTGAGCTGCTCTGTGTGTTTGCTGACAGCCAGCCAGTGGTTAGGCAGCTGTTCCCAATGCAGCGGCACAAGAAGATGGGCAATTTTTAGAGTGATAATCTCCTTCAGTGCAACAAGCGATTAAAAGAGCACAGCGCAGCTGGGAAAAGGATAAACATAGTTGAATGATGGGCTGATTTGCCAAGCAATGACTCACATCCCATATCGCAAACAAAAATCAAACGAAAACTAAAAATTTATTTAATTGCTATAAAGGAACTCATTTTCTCTTCAGGTTTAAAAAGCTCAGGCCATTGCTATTCAAATTCATCTGCACACAGACTTTTTTTTGATCAAACCTTCTATCATTTCATCAAATCTGCACATAAACAGATCTCAAAGAGTATGGGAAAAGACCTCTAAAGGCTCAGCGTTCTGCTTCTCATGCTGGCGCCTTGCTTTATGTTGAAGTTCTAGAACCAGGCCAATAGAAGGATTAGACAGGGGAAACCTTGGGGTACGGTGAGGACTCAATGGATCAGGGGATGAGGCAGAAGTCAGTGTTAAATGGAAAATTAAGGGCAGGAAACAGACGTTCTGGTCACACCATGAAGTCAAGAACAGACCAAACAAAGACCAGGCCAAGAATCACTCAGGTCACAACCAAGGATGAAGAACCATGCAATAAAATCAAACATGCTTTTATCTGAGCTCAAAAAAAGAAGCTTCAAGACTGCATGTGAATGATATCTTGTAGCCAGATGGATGCACCGAAAGTTTGTAAATTAAAAACTACTATTCCGGTGATAATGAGGGTCAGACATCACTACGTAGCAAATAGCAAAGAACCATATGGTGGAACCCTATGTCCCCAAACGTATGACCTGCCTGGGGCAAAGAGAGCGGCACACACCTGAGCTGTCGATGAGCTCCATTGAACACCAGCATTAGCTACACCTTCAGGCAAACTTCTCACTGAACCTCTCTGTCCCAGATGCGAGCCGGCTGTGTCACATTGCATCTGCTAAAACGCCCTCGCATCTGCCCAGGGCGTCTTGCAGCTCTGCAGTGAGAGGCCCCGTCAGCTTCCTCGGCATTCAGGCATGGGGGTGGAGCATTATACAAGGCATTGAAAACAAGGAGAGGAGAAGAAGCAAGCCTTTGTTGACCTGGCGCACATGTGCTACGTAGGCAAGTAGGTGGCACCAGCCCTACTCTGCAGGCTACTCCTACCTACAGACTGAAATGATCCACTTTCATTTCTTTGGGTATATTTTCTGGGTCCTGTATGATTCTGTATCATTCATCCATGATTTTCTCATCTTTTCAGAGCAGCTATTTATTCAGCAAAAGAAACACAGCAAACAATCAGCGATAACCTGCGATAGCAGGTTATAATTATAACTTATGCAAATTTCTTGTGACTTGAACTGCATATTTCTTATTTACTCCTACAAAACCTAATGACTTACATGCAGTGGCATCGGAAGAAGTTTGGCATCGGGGGGACCGAATGTCCAGGTGGTGGGTGCAATGTATCGAAATATCTCTATGGGCACACATGCAATAATCACATAGTGAAAGGATGCAATGTGAGAAAGATTTTAAATAATTAAGATCGATAAGACTAACACTGTTTAGGGGGCCTGCCCCCACATTAACCCTTATTTCCAATGCCCCTGTTTATATAACCTACTGCACTCTGGAACATGTCAAAAACGGTTCTGATGAATCAGCCCAGTCTTGACGAAAAGTAAAAAACATACAGATTTGCTTGTTCAATTTCTCACACTTTTTTTTTCTTCTCAGTTATCAGCTAAGAAGACGTCACCAGTATCCATAGTGTGGGAAGCGATAAGCCACTGCTTCAGCATCCCTCTCATGTCTAATGCTGCGATTAGTTATAGTCAAACAGCTATGTTTAAAGTACAAAAAAACATCAGATTTTAGTGGTGCTGGTAACATTTGGAATGGTATTTAAAGCCTGAAGAAATGCCAACAAACCATTAATGTTAACTACATGAACTGTAATAGGGAGATTCAAGCATTGTGTAATAATTACTTATTAAACACCATCAAGTCTTATTTGCTATCTTAATTGGTCGGTTTTATGTATGCTCAGTGTCACCTAACAGGAGACAAAGGACTCAAGGGCCAGCGTTTTGGCAAAACAAAAGGGGGTTTATTGAAATCAAATGATCAACGACTGGAAATAAACAAGATCACGAGGGATCAGAAATAGGAAAAGTCAAGCTAGGAAGGGCACAAGCAACACAAGGGTGTGACGACAATGACTGAACTGGGAAATACAGGACTGGGAAGCACGTATATATGAGACTAATGAGGAAGCTAATAAGAGGCAGCTGGGTGTGTTTAATGCAAGGGTAGGGACAAGAAGTAAGACAAACACATAAACCGGCGTGGCTTATTAGGGCCATGCTAGGGAGGGGACCGGAGGGTCTGGTGGACATGGTGGGCAGAATGTGACAGCAATTGTTGGTATATCTTGTCAACATGAAGTTTCCCCAGCTTGTTTTCCAATTTAAGCAGGCAGGTCAATCACCTAGTTTACTTCACTTGCCAAAACACACATCTGCTCATCATCTTCCCAGGTAATACCTGCTCTAGGCCAGGTTCTCCTTCCAATCCACACTCCTCAATGCAACATTTAACCAGGCTTGGAGCCCAGTTTACCACTTATATTGGTCACTACATCAATTTTTCATAGTGTCGCTTCTTTCCAGAACAAAATTCTTGCTATTTTGGACAGAAGAGGAACGGTGAATAGAAGCCATAGAATCACATCACTATTTTAGTTGAATTTGCAAATTTCAGGCTTGTAACAAAAGATCCTACTGTGTCTTTTAAGGCCAAACCAGAGCCCCAATCCATTCATCCCTCAAACAACCTATCCAGGTGGGAGCCTATTCCAGGCAGCACAGAGCACCAGGCTGTGGTACATCCTGGATGGGAGGCCAGTCCATCACAGGGCACAAGCAGTCATGCACTACAGGCAATTTAGAAATGCAGAATAGATTAGCTGCATGTCCTTGAACTGCTGGAGGAAATCCACACAACACAGGCAGAACATGGGGAGAACTCAGACACAGAGAACAGAGGTGAGATTCACCCACCCGGGCGCAGAAGTGTGAAGCGACAGTGCTACCCACTGAGTCACCAGGCCACTACACGGCCCCAATCTCTATAAAAATCAAAGTGAGATTTTTCATTTAACAGTGAAATGAGGAAGTGTTAACATTTCTGTTTGGACTTTCAAAAGCACTGATTTATATTTTCTCCTAGAGCAAACTTTGCAAACCTTTGAAGCTAAGGTTAAGTTCTCATATTTTTTATCTTCTATAGAAAAAAATGGCAAAGTTGCTTAAGAAGTTTGCTTTTCAAACACTGGCGTTTTTATGTCTTTTTTTTTTCTACTCAGAAATTCAATCGTACATTAAGGTTTTGACCCAGCATACCTGTTACGATTTCCATTTAAAATAAATCCACCAGCATTATGGAATGTATGCATCTCATCGCTTTTGGAAATAAAACAGTTAAGTACATCTTTGTAGCTGGTGAATTTTCAGTTACACTGGTTGATATTCTGAGCTTCTAGTTGCCATCACGTAATCTTCAAACACCCAGACACCAAGAGCTCACACCACAAGGTCTCTTTATGAATTGATGTAGCTTATTAAAAAAAGTTTTGCCTGAACATGGCCCTATAAATCTATTAAAATATAGTGCGTTAATGCTTCCCGGACCTCCAACCTTAGTATTTCTCTGCATGATAAACTGACACATTCCATTTTCAGTCATGTTTCATGGGTAAGCAAATTTCATTGTTGTTATTTAAGATGTTTTTCTTTCTCACACTCCCCCAACTCCAGAATCTAAACTGTAAAATTAGGTGTCATGTAATTGTTCTGCTAAGTGTCAGTGCATTACATTAGCGCAACAATAGCACCAATAATCTGTTACTTTGCCTATGCATTTTGAAAATCAGTTATTTAAATAAAAAATGAAAATCAGCCATGCAAAAAAAGTCACAATTGAAGGTATAAATAGCATACTTCTGTCTAAATGTGCATTCTTATGTTTGTCCATAAAAGGGGCATTGGAGCAACCTATGGAGCCACAAACATCTTAAGAGAAAGTAAACCTCTGCTTTTGAAAAAGACAATCTTATTGGCTGAAACAGAAAAAAACATTTGAAAAGAAAGATGGAAAGTCTCAGCCATGGTGCAAATTTATTAACAGATGCCTTTATTCAAAGCAAGATACAACACTGTGAACCTCAGCACTACTTTCTAAAAAGCCATATGACAGCAGCAGGTCTTGCAATGTGAAGCCAAAAAACATGACAAGACACAGTTTGCTCACCTCATCTCTTCAAGCACCGAAGCCGCGACTGAATGCAATTCCGTTGGATTCCAGCTCGGTCACTCCGAATGAGTTCGTGCAACTTTTGTGCAGCTTCAGTATGTTTTCTGTGCTGGATAAGCACCCTCCTACTTGTGAAGAGGCTTCAGCTCAGCAAATGCATGATATAAAGCAGATGGTTAACCATGGGGAAAAAGTCCTTGACATACATCTCAGATTGCTAACCTACCAATGACAACCATGGCAGCTAAGGGATCCTCTGCTGAAGGAGACAGATGAGCTCTCCCCTGGCCAACTTCCAGCCGTGCTGTGAAGGTCCAGAATTTAAGCAACGGGCCGGCAGGATGACAGATGGAGCTCCGGCCATTGTGACCTTGCTGGACACTGATATTTCAAGCTAGACGCGGCTCTCTCTCCCTCTGCATTATGGACGGACAAGTTGAAAAAGCGGTTGACAGCAGTGATTAGGTGGATAGAGAAACCGCTTGCTCTCTGGACAAACGAGGCAAGGACAGATTGCTGCAGGAGAGCACGACACTACTGGCACTTCCTGCCCTGCCCTGGATGCGAGTACATCCTTGCATTCATCTCCAGAAACATGAGGGGATATGTAGGAGTAGCCAAATACTTATAGGGTCAAAGGTCCTCACATATACAATAGAAGTAATTTATTTACCAACTTGAGCCAGATTTTTCCTATTCACGAGAAATAATGAGCTCAGCATGGATGAATTTGCCCCCGGCGGCCATATTTATATTGCCGACGGTCACTCGTTCATGCCTGCAGTTACTTCGTCCGCACCCTCTTCGGGCTCCGCGTTTCTTGCTTGCAATCTTAAGATCCCATCTCAATTTATCTAGTGCCTAGAAATTGTTCCTGTTGAAATGAATGGTAATTACGCCGCTGACTTACGAGATTTAACCTTATGAGCTGATTTCCAGGAACGCATTAGGCTCGTTATTAGGGGAATACCTGTATTTTCCAAGGGAGTGGATTGCAATTTCCCACTGACAGCGGAAATACCTCAGGCAGAAAACCCATTCCTGTACCTCCATTATCATGTCTTCATTCCAGTCATAACATCCCATCCTGATATCCCTGGAACAGTGATCACATTATACTCTCACCCATCATATGCCTGGTTACGTATGCCTGCATTATCCTACATAGGACTTCCATTTAACATCAATACCGGCATCTTTTTTAGTTTGGTTTGCCTTGTGCCCACATATACGGTTATGAAAGATGCAGAGCAAATGATCTGACCAGTCAGGAGGAGCCATATGTAACCCTGTAGGTCACTGTCGTTCCAAACTGGGCCGTCTCTAGCTACAGACAGACCGGGCTGCTGCATAGGGCTCCAGAATCACCTACATTGTGGAGGAAATTAAGTGATCGCAATTTTTCTCGGTGGGGGGGCTCCCAAGAAAAGCGTTGCCTAGGGCCCCTGAAAAGCTAGAGCCAGCCCTGGTTGCAAATCTAGGCATGGAAGCTGCAAATCTGTTGTTATCCCATGAAAGCTGCACTACAGGCTCATTGTTACCACTCCCCGGCATACGGTTCACGATGAGGCTCCCTTGCCTTAAAAATGACTTCCCCTTGTCGCAGTACTTAAAAGGGAGATTCTGGCTGGGGATAAGAGAGCATAACCACTCGCCATAAATAGACACATGGCAGCCCGACAGCATCGAAGGCCATGACTGCTCTGTCCACCACCCACCTCTGCCCCCCCTCCACTTTGGCCCCTCCTCTACCTTCATTGTTGTCGTCTCCAGTATGTATTATTGTCAGCTGGTTTCAGCTAAAAGTAAACAGATAAATAAGGATATTTAAACCGTATCGAATACATTTTAATAAACCTGTAAGACAAACAGTTCATAAAATCACCAGAAAGAACAGGCCACAGTCCTCGTTTGCACAGGAAAAACATTTATGATATATTAATGACTTAATATTAAAACACTATATATACATGCTGCAGGTATATATAGATTTTAACAATAATGCATGGTAATATAATACATATGCAAGATAAATATTGAAAAGGAAAAAAGGAGATAGCTTCGCAAAGAAAGGGCAACTATACCAGATATCGTTTTTAATGTCTGACGATGCCACCCAGCTGCGTAGTTCAGCCACAGTCCACCACACGTGCCAGAGATGATGGCACTTGCTTGAAGATGCTACCAGAAGGGCCTCCTTCATAAAAACTAAAAAAAAAAAAAACTCATTGAACTTGAGCACCACTTCCTTTTAATGGACTTGGTGAATTGGCAGCCTTGCTATCATGCATCTTTACCGCTGTGTCTCTCATTGTTAGTTAACTCACCCGCTAAAGGGATCCGATATCCGTTGTCAGAAGATTAAAAACATCTGTCAGTAACTGGCAAGGATTATCTGTGAAACTCACAGAAGTCTGATCATTTCAAGGAAATGGCACGAGGCAACACTGATGAACGGCAGCAGCTGCTCAGAGGAGGAGCTCATCTGAACTCTAGGTGTTGACAATTGAATCTTCACCTGACTACAGCTAAGAGGTCCTGGCAGGTCTTTTGGTTTTGTCTTGAATCCGCCTGGCTTCTGTGTGAGACTCCATATCGCACTTATGTTTGAATTTCTTTTGATGTCCTCAGAGATAGATGTAAGAGTTCTGTGTTTCCGTTATAAATGTTAAACAGCCAAGGTCAGGTTTCCACCAACTAATGAAAATGATATTATTCTTTGTTTGCCGTTTGCATGTGTACATTGGAATGCTTTTTGTCGCATCTTGTTCTCTTACACAAATACACAGATATATGGCCCCGGAGCATTTCTGGGGGTTAAAGGTCATGCTCAAGGGCGCAGTGAAGATATGACGATTCTGCTGAGGCCAAGGCTTGAGCCAGTGACCTTCTGATCACAGGCACAGAGGCCCAGATGTGCATCTCCTTTATCTGGTGACATGTTTTATACCACAAATATTTTCATTCCAGACAAAAGGCACAGAATGCGGCGAAAGGATGAAGCATTCTCTCTGCCTCACTGCGTCCCTATATTTGGTGTGAACAGATGAGTTTGCAAATGTTTATATGACTAGGCAAGCTGAAATTCCTCTGACTTCATCCTTGCATGAGGAACATTATTTTATCCTGCATATATTATGCATAAAAATGTTAATCGCTCAGGAAGTTGGCGGTACGACACGGATGAGCTGTTATCAGAGGTTATCCCTGCTTACCCTGCTCCAATGGGGAAAGAAAAATGCCTGAACGCTGTTTCAAATTTCCAGGGAAACCTTTAAAAATAACATGGAAAACTTCCCTCTCGGGATCCATCTGCCGCCATAGTCACACGGACACAGCAGGCTGCTCGATTTGATCGCATCCAATTTCTAATTCCATTGTTTCGGTCAATAGGGCTGCAGTCGCAGCTGTGAGAGGGAGCAGGAGGAGCGTTTGCTGAGAGTTACCCGCCAGTTGTTGCGGGGAGCCTCAGAGCGACAGAAAATAATTGGCACGATTCCACCGGGGGGGGGGGCAAGTTGACTAGGGTGTCTTAGAAAAGGTACCTCCTACATACCTGTCACATCTGTTGACGGTCACCAGCAGTGAGCGTGTTTTGGAGCAACGTGCGTCCCGTCTCTCACAGGCATCCGGCGAATGCGAGGCAGCGTGTGGTACAGCGGCTGAAAATGACTAAATCGGGGAGATGCACATTCTGGCAAACGTGCAGCCGAGAGGCAGAGCCGTCCCGAGATGTAAAAAAAATTGCCCATCTGAACGTTCTGTTCTGGAGAATGGGTCAGCATGTTACAGTACTTCTGATGACTAACAAAGAACAGTTTGGGGGATGAAAGACCCAATACTGGTATGAAGACTACGAAGACTCCCCTCATGCTGTCAATAGTCAAATAAAAAATATCTATGTCTGTATAAGATCCATATCACACTGACACATGGGTGCCACATTACCAGCCTGGGATGGGGTCCATTAGTTGACTTTTATCTCATCCTAATCCTAACCTGGGTCAAGAACTTGCCTTCAACCTCAGTCACAATCCCAAGCTCCTAATGTACCAGTAGAACAACAGGTGCCAGTGGTTTGTGCTGCTGAACGCCACCAAAGACCTGTTATGTTGGGCTGTCTGACTCCTCCTGGGCCAGTGTGTCATTCCAGCCTCTGCCCTTGCATGACAGCAGGGGACCTTCCTTCCTTACCACAATAGGGCTGCAGTCTGGCATAGAACAAGACGCCCCTAACAACAAATCATGATTTACAGTAGCAATAACACTAATCACCCCTCTTGCCATTTCTGGAAAGCAAAGGGCAATAAAATACTTTATTATCTTGCCAGCTGTAATGTCTTCCCATCAGAGACACAGGGGAACAAAGTGGAACTTGCTAGAATCAAAGCTCCAGCCCCCGGTCGCTGATTCAATGCCCCTAAAAATGGTGCTCAACTCGACTGACGGACACTTTGAACCTTAATAAAATCACCCCCCCCCCCCCCCCAATCCTACAGTACCTGTATCTGCTGGATTTTTTTTGCCATCCCGAAGAGCAAGTTTTCCATAACAAACTTTACCCCCCCAACTCATAAGCACTTTCAGTCTAGCTGAGATTGTACAACTTGAACTGGACTGAAATTACAGTCTTATTAGCTCAATTTTCCCAGATTGTTTGATATTCATTTTTTAATCAAAGCCATTTGCCCTGGGACATGTTCTATCACCGTATATTGCAGACTTAGCGATACAGCCGCTCTTCAGCTTACTGCCTTTGGTAATTTTTGCTAACAAGGCTTGTGCTTCTGGCTGCAAGGAGGTCAGTGTAATTACACTGAACCTGTCTGGTCTATTAAAGTGCTGCATGCTCTGCAGCTAGGTGGCATGGCGGCTCAGGAGGTAGCGCAGTAAGCTTAAACTTCTAAGCTGTGGGTTTGATTCTAGGACCTGGGCTCTGTGTGTGTCCTGAGTTTCTCCTATGTTCACATGAGTTCCGAGGGGATGCCCTTCGTTTCCCACCATAGTCTAAAACAGTGCTGCTCAACCCTGCCATTGGGGACCCCCAGACAGTCCACATTTTTGGGGGGGAGCAAAAACATTTACTTTCTAGGGGTCCCTGAGGACTAGGTCTAGAAACACTGCCCTAAACATGCAGTTAGGTTGGTTGCCCATAGTGTACTGTATGAACTGCAGTGGACATTCACACCATCCAGGGTGTCCTCTGCCTTGCAACCTATGCTTCCTGGAACAGAATCCAAAGTTCCTGCAACCCTGTATTGATCAAGAGGT